AACCTATGCTTTAACAGAAACTTAAACAGCGTCGGTACAAGTACACAGATTGTATTAAGATTACTGGTGTGCAAAAGAAGACATGTATAAATAGAAGGGCAGTAGGTTTAATCCTACATAAAGACCAAAACCGACGTGCATAAGCTTTCATTCATGAACTGTCATCATAAGGAAAAGAAAAGGTCAAACCTAAACATGTAAAACAAAGAATCTATGAGAAATTTAGAAACCATATGCCGCACAAAAATGAAAGAGATAACTCAACAGAAAACTATGATTAACATCTGAAAATCTTATAGCAAATGTATTTTTCATGCAAAGATAACAGCTTATAACAAAGTACATTCTATAAGCAAAGCCTTTGGCACGGAGTTAAAACATTTGAACATCTAAAATGAGCTTGTAACTAAATTCTCCGCATTTCGAAACCACAGTTCGAATTATAGCAGCCTAAAAAGACATTGCCTTTAGTTCCAACTGGAAGGCCAGAATCCATGAATTCCATATCCAGTCTTCCAATTGTCCAAGGAAACTACTTTCTGCACCGCCCAAAAGGAAACAAAAAGCGCAAAAATCATCGTCACACGCTTAGCAGTCGCGTTCTTAACATAAACAAGAACATGAGTGACGAAAGCAAGCAACAATCCCACAACCGTATAAAGAAAACCCACGGCGAACCCTTCCGCTCCAAGCTGCATCCCCGATCCTTGGTAAAAGAAAACCAATTTGTTCGGATCGTTCCTATCCACCATAAACATCGGCATCTTCCTTATTATGTTATGCATTGCACCTGAAACACTGAAAAAATAAACAAAAACGGCGCCGGAAAGCCAAATCTTGGGATCGTGTAAGAACGTTTCCCCGGCAAAGATCTTTTTTATTATGAACGGAGCAGAGATCAACAAAAGGGCAACGATCAAGCCCACTTGCGTTTTGGAAAGAATAGGAGGACGATGGAGTGGACCCACGGTGAGTTTAGTTCTCGACTCGACGAAGTCGGCCATAGACTCGGCCATTCGAGAGAAATCGCCCTGGTCCATCTGTTCGGAGTCATCCTTCAACGATTTGGCGTTGGGGCCGACAAGGCGGATGTGGGGGAGGGAGTTGACGCCGAAGAGGTGGAAAGAGGATTGGGATTCGCGGAACTCGATGTCGGCAAGAAGAGTTTGGTGTTGGAGTTGTTGTTGTTGGAGATGAAGGAGGAGGCGACTAGGGAGAACTCACGGCGGAGGTCGAGGAGGTGGAGTTCGGACTTGTCGTGGAGTTGGGTGGCATCGAAGAAGATGAGGAGGGAGTAGGGGCGAGGGGTTTTGGGGGAAGTGAGGAATTTGGCGATGGTTCGGTCGTCTAAGTGGATGACTCCCGATTTGGATTCCGATTGAAGGGCGATGAGATCGGCAACCAGGTCGGATTCGGGATCGGATCCGGCAGTGGGAATTGAAAGGAAGAGTGAAATGGTGAGAAGGGGGAAGAAAAAGATAGCAGTAGAAACGGGAGAGATCGCCATTGCTTTGCTTAGCTTTGCTTTGGATTGGCGGATTTGGCGACAAGGCGAGGGTGAGTTTTGTCTACTTTTTACGTTTCAGATTGGCAAGAAGGCGTTGACAAGTTGACTTTCATTGACCTTAACTTCTCAGAACGGCGTCGTTTGGAATGCTTGAGGAATGGTTCGGGCCAAAATTGAATTGAATGAAAATTTATTGCGGTGAAGCCCAAAATAAATGGACTATATCAGAAGTCAAATCTAGCTAGGCAGTAGCCAGTGGGCACCTACAAGGCATTAGCCGATAATTAGGGTAAAATTTTTGAGATAATGAAGTTGAAAGATTAATTACTAAGATAAGATGATTATTTTAATAAAAAAATTGGTCGTCAGTTGTTCTGAGCGATCTATGCAGATCGTCATGCCCTCCATCGAACGACAAGCAGTAGGTCGTCATACACGCTCAGCAATCAGATAAGTCGCCATGCACGCCTTCAAACAATCAAAGGTTTGAAAACCCGGAAAGACTAATGAGGTTTTTGCTTAAAATAGATAAACCCCTTCAAATCCAAGATAGCATAAATGAAATCAAGCTTCGGGTATAAAAAAATTACCCTCCAAGCTGATTTAATCTGCAAAAAAATAGGAAAATAAAAAATTGGATCTAGATTTTGAAAACACCTGGCTTTTGAAGAAAATCTTATCGAAGTTTGATTTCAATCCACTTTTAATTACTGAAACAAAAACAAACCAGAAAATCAGAATTTTTTTCAAACACCGATGATTAACAGAAAGGGGGCAATTTTGCCCAGTTAGGTCGCCAAGCAGAGAGCGAGGTAGAGAAAGGCTGCAGCAGTGGAGGAGGAGAGAGGGAGAAGAGAGCAACAGTGAACGACACTATTCAAAATACATTATTTGGGAAAATAATTTTTCTCCTTCTCCATTTCAACCATTCTTTATTTTCAAAACTCCATGGGAGCAAAATTGTCGATAACTAGTGAACTAAAAGATGCCTTCACGTCATCACTTGCATAATCAACTTTCAAATTTAGTATTTTTTTTTTAGCGATCTAGTAGTTAAAGGAAAATGTTATATTTTTTTTTAAGATTTTGAGTTCGAATGATTAAATTTATAGGATGTATATGGGTTATTAATGGTTAAAAAAGTTATGAATAAATATTATATTGTAATTATTCATATTATTTAAAAAAATATCTTTTATTATTTGAGATAAACTATGAATTTGGTCAAAGTTTGATACTATCAAATTGATCGTTAAAATCTAAATAAAATATTAATTTAATTCATGAATTCTATCAAATATGCCGTCAGTCATTGTTTGTAATTATTGTCGGTCACTATCAATCATTTAAACAAACATTAGACTTTAAAATTAAAACTTTATACTATATTTGTGGTGGGTTTACTCATGCAATCATCGAGAGTGTTATGGTATTAACATGTACTAAAAGATGATTTTCTTTAAAATATTATTTTTTTATATGGTATTATAATGGGTTATTATTTAAAAATTTATTTCGTTGAATCTATTTCTCTCGTCATAAATTTGCTATGGATTTAACTAAGATCGTTCTTCAAAAATCAATGTCGGTATCTCATTTATACCTATCACCTGCTAGCATTAGTAAATTTTTAAACAATTGATATGTTACGAACTTATAAGAGATGTTGAGTAAGAGATGAGATGTATCATTTTGGACGATTCTTTTTTATTGGAGGTGCTACATGTTTACTGCACTCATTGTTGATGGGAACAAAAATAGTTTCTAATTTAGATCGAGAGTCGCAGTCAATGAAAACTAGACTGTGAATTAATATTTCCTTACGGAGAGATGATAGAATAAAAAGGAGATATGAGTGAAGAAAGAGAAGAAAAATGGAGAAATAACCCCTTATCAGTTGTGGTTGATGGATATTTACAGTGGTCTTAGTTAGTAGTGCCCGATATAAAGTTATTATGACTACTTATAGGTTAATAACTTTGATAGATTTAATCGTTAGATTTTAAATTTTGTTCTAATAAATTATGTGGACTGTCAATAGTCTCATTCATGTATTAGGACTAATTTGGAGGGTACAACACACCTGCGCTTGGAGAACATGAATTCCCCTAGAGGTAAAAGGATTTTTTCAAAAATCTCGATCAGTGGAGGACTGATAATTTTCTTGATGATTTCCAAAAGCATAACAACTGGATTTGGATTTTGCTAACTTCATTAATAAACCAACATCTTTGGCATACTTCACTTTCAGTCCATCAATAATGCAAGTTGTTGTAGGTCCTGAAATCAGACTTCCAGTTCATGTGGTTCAGCAGCTTTCCCAATCAACAATTTAAAGATACTAATTAAGGTTTAACAGATTGATTAATCATCGACTTCTTGGTTACTGGAAGCAGCATGTCTGCCATCTTTACCAATAAAGCAAAAGGAAGCTCTGCTTTTCCTGCATTCCTCACGTCACCAAAGAAAGATCGTTTTAAATAAATTCGTGATTGAAGTAGCAAAGGTAAAGATTATAGTGTTTAACTCCATGTTCAAGCCTTCTTTTGTTGCTGCCAGTTGTGTTGTCGGTCCCGACCGCCAAATCCAGTGGTGAAATCCAAAGACAAATATAAAACAGAGTACTGTTTCTTACATGCAATAAATTGACCCCACTTTTCCATTTTTAATTCACTGCTGACCCTGATTGGACGCAGCCTGGCATTCCATGGCTTTTTCTCCATCATTTCATTTCCTAAAATACCCTTGACTTTGCAATTTGTGTCATGTTCCTCCCACCTTCGCTTGATACCTATTTCTATAAAGATTTTATTGTAAAGTAAGGGTTGAAGTTGTATTTTTTTTGAGTGTTTACATTTTTTCAAATTAAAATAGACGTTTAATATTTAGTTTTATAATCATTTTAAGATTTACTTGTTACATCAATTAAAAGAATTGTTAATTTATTTTATTATTAACGGGTTTCTCTGCTTTATAGCTTTTAAAGGATTTAAATTAAAATAAATACAATCAAAATTAATTTTTGAAAATTAAAAGGTTGATGTCACTTTAAAAAAAAATCGAAGTGTTTGATGTTAAACTTTAAATCTAAAATTTTTGTTTCGTAAAAAAGGAAATTGAAAGGACATACATCGAAACCGAAGTAATTGAGATTAAATTTTAGAACCTTACATTTATATTAGTACCCAACATAAATTTTTTTATCTTCTTTCAATTTCATATTTTTTTCTTTATATTTATTTCCCTAAAAAAGAACGATAGATTTGATAATAAGTGAAGAAAGAAAATAGATCGACATCACATACTTTATATTTATTAGAGAGTATATTCTTTTAAAAAATATAATAGATTAATTTTAAAATAATTATAAAATAAAAATTAAATATTTAATTTTAGTAACATCTAAAATAAAAAGGTGTGTAATTATTTTCAATTAATCCTTCTATAAATGGTACTTATTAAACATTGATGATCACATTCATGAATGGGTGAATTGGTACAATCACAAATTAAACGGACAAAAGAGCTCGGTTCACTGTTCTGCCGCTTCACACATGATCACATGAAGTGTCTGAATTCTGATACTCGTTTATAATTACTCTCAGAGATCCATCTCCAGAAGATAGAGATCTCATCCTCTTCTTCAAAGAAAGAAAACTCTCCAGTCAAAAAAAATGGAGAAAAGGGCATCTCCAATGGCTTCTCTACTCTTCATCGCACTTCTAATATCTGCGTTTCATTCTTCATCTGAAGCAGCTGATTCACAACCTTCATTTGGAGACAATTTCAGCATAATGTGGTCCGAAGATCATTTCAAAACCTCCGAAGATGGCAACACCTGGTACCTCTCCTTGGACAAAGAAACTGGTAATAATCCAATTTGAACGTCTTTTAAACACTTGTTTCTGCTTCTAAAACGTGCTTCAAATCCATGGTTTTTAGGCTGCGGGTTTCAAACCAAGCAAAGATACAGATTCGGATGGTTTACTATGAAACTGAAGCTGGTCGGAGGTGACTCTGCCGGCGTTGTAACAGCTTACTATGTATGCTTTTTTTTCAAACCAACCAATTCGGTTGTACTTTTGTTTGTGTTCCATTGATTTAGTTCAAGGGTGTTGCAGATGTGTTCCGAGAATGGAGCGGGGCCAGAACGAGATGAGCTGGATTTCGAGTTTTTGGGGAACCGAACCGGACAGCCGTATTTAATCCAGACAAACGTGTACAAAAATGGGGCCGGAAACCGTGAAATGAGGCACATGCTTTGGTTCGACCCTACCGAAGATTACCATTCATATTCCATTCTATGGAACAATCACCAGATTGTGTAAGTCCGGATCATATCTTCATATTCATGTCCGAATATATTTGAAATCCGAAGTGTAACCGAATTATTGGGGGAAAAACAGGTTTTTTGTGGATAGAGTTCCCATTAGAGTGTTCAAAAACAATGGCGATGATAAAAACGACTTCTTCCCCAATGAGAAGCCGATGTATTTGTTCTCGAGCATATGGAACGCGGACGAGTGGGCGACGAGAGGTGGACTCGAGAAAACGGACTGGAAAAAGGTGCCGTTCATATCGTCCTACAAGGACTTCAGCGTCGAGGGTTGCCGATGGGAAGACCCGTATCCGGCTTGTGTATCGACCACGACCGAGAACTGGTGGGATCAGTACCAGGCTTGGCATCTATCTGATTCACAGAAGATGGATTATGCTTGGGTGCAGAGAAACCTAGTTGTTTATGATTATTGCAAGGATTATGATCGGTTTCCGAAATTGCCTGGAGAGTGTTCATTGAGTCCTTGGGACTAGGATCTCTCGTCAAGTAGAGAAATTTTTGTATTTTTTATGGATTATTTATTATTCAATTGTTCTTATGATATGAGCGTGCATATTGACTAGATCCATCTATGGATCACTATTTATTAATCATATAATTCAATATTTTAAGAATTTCATAAGCGTTGTTGTGGCGAAGACTTTTTGTTTTAGTGCTCCATATTTTTCCAACAGTTTTTTTTTACAATAATATGTATGTATAGATTATACATATGCCACCAAATGAAGATCAATCTTTATGTATTCCTTCTTTGCGAACCCCAAAAAAAATCTAGCACTTTCATATATATATATATATATGAATGCCAAATTTAAATTTTATCCAGTGTGAATGCTTTAATATTTGTCAAGAGGCACTGCGAACACAATTTGTATCTGGGAAGACGCGACGGAGACCACAATGCATCTTTCGCTTTGTTGTTATGGTAATCTTGTCATTCCAATTACGTGAAAATAGATGTGTTCAAATGGTTAATTTGATCATCGACCGAACTGAATTATTATTAATTAAATATTTTTCTTTAACCGTTAATTAAACTAAATTTTTTTTTAAATATTAACCGAACAAAATTTGATTATTTCGATCGGTTAACCGAATTTTCATAATTAGATCAATTTAAATATAATAGATGTATATTTTTTATTTGAATGAAGAATTAATTAGGTATTGATAATTTAATGAGTATAGTGTGATTAAAAAATTAATGGGTATTATATTAATTTTTAATGGTTTATGCTTAAAATATGTTTTATAATATATATAATATTTAATAATTTCGATTAATTAACCAATTTTACCAAATATTGAAAAAAAATATTAATTGTTCTTCGAATGAGCTAATTCGATTCGGTTCGATTGATTAATTCAGTTAAAACCACATAGTAAACACCCCTAGTGAAAATGAGGAAGAATGCGAGAGACACATTATGTTGCCGACGTCTTTCATGACATATATGTGAGTTAATTACTTTTTCCAACACCCATGTAAGCAATTTTGCCTGCTAAATCATTTCGGTATATTATTTTTGCATCATCACTACAAAAGCTTTTGGCGGAAAAGTATCTTTAGGGAGATAATTTAAAACATTTAACATCAAGAAATTGTAATATCTTGATATAGGTTTTTGATAAAACTACGTAATTATCATAATTAAATTTATTTTCAATTGATAATATTCATTTAATCTGTTAAATTGGAGTAATTATTATGATTACATTTGACATTAACACAAAATCTTTATAAAATTTATCTTATTATTTTTTTATCTACCTTATTATGGAGACAAAAAATATTGATACTAATCGCGGAATGTCTTACAATCATTTACAACTCTTCACTTAAATTAAAATAGATAAATTACATATATCGATGCTAAATCATTTGTTCCTATAACAATACATCTAGTAAACTTGTATGTATACGACTTCACTAAAGGAAATGCATATCTTGCCCAATCAGCATCCTGGACGATGGTACCATTGCAGCATAACTCCTACTCAAGGTCCTTAAGTACTTCGCTGTAGCTGAACTCCCTTTTAATCCCTGAACATTCACTTTTTCGATCAGGAATTAAATTACAATTGCGAGCATATTTTCCATTTATCGTGATTATGAATATAATAAATGCTATAACAGTAATTATATGTATGACAGTTGTGTAAAAACAGTTTCAGATCACATCAAAATTACTATATATCAGCAGCTTTTTCAATAACGACCGCTATTTAAATCTTTGTTTCCAACCATTATTATGTTGATGTACACGAATATGCGTGTTCCTCTGGCTCCGAGTCCCCATATTTCACCAGTAGCATCCAAAACAAGAACAATAAAATATTTACAGAAGATGAGAGAACAAAATTTAGGTAATATATAATTTTCATTTCCTTGAAACCATAATATGAGATTGATTTAATAAAGATACGACATAAGCATTATTTACAAGGCCTCAACGGAGCCAGGCATCACAATCATTCATTCACATAAAATCCAGAAATTCATATTCATAGAGAGCTTAGAAACCACCACGAAGACGCAAGACAAGGTGAAGAGTGGATTCCTTCTGGATATTGTAATCAGCAAGAGTCCTTCCATCTTCCAATTGTTTCCCAGCGAAAATCAACCTCTGCTGATCTGGGGGAATCCCTTCTTTGTCCTGAATCTTCGCCTTAACATTATCGATCGTATCAGAACTCTCCACCTCTAGGGTTATGGTTTTTCCAGTCAAAGTCTTGACGAAGATCTGCATCCCACCACGAAGCCTCAAAACCAGATGAAGGGTCGATTCCTTCTGAATGTTATAATCGGCCAAGGTCCGGCCGTCTTCGAGCTGTTTTCCAGCGAAGATGAGCCTCTGCTGGTCCGGTGGAATCCCTTCCTTGTCTTGGATCTTGGCCTTGACGTTGTCGATCGTGTCGGAGCTCTCAACTTCCAAAGTTATGGTTTTTCCGGTGAGAGTTTTGACGAAGATCTGCATGCCTCCACGAAGACGGAGGACGAGGTGGAGGGTTGACTCCTTCTGGATGTTGTAATCGGCCAAAGTCCGGCCGTCTTCGAGCTGTTTTCCGGCGAAGATGAGACGCTGCTGATCCGGTGGGATCCCTTCCTTGTCTTGGATCTTGGCCTTGACGTTGTCGATGGTATCGGAACTCTCGACTTCAAGGGTGATTGTCTTTCCGGTCAGGGTCTTGACGAAGATCTGCATCTTGTTTGGCTTGGGAGAAAATCAACGGAAAAATGGAATTTTTTTTAGGGCTAGAAAACAAGGGGATGGAGGGAATAATTTATAGGGAAACTCCTGACATCTCTAACCAATAACTATTTGACACGTAAGGTAATAAGATAAGGACGACCAATCGGCGTATGATTTGGAATTGGGTAATGACAATTGACAAAGTAAAGCAGTTGGGGACTTTGTGCCGTTAGTCTTTCCGTTTTAACGGTCGAGTGAGCGTCGTTAATTGAGGGAAAACCGTCCCGTTGGAAATAAATGGCCCCTAGTTGTCAACTTGTCATTTGCCGTTGCCGCTCAGAAGAAATTTTTTAGCAAAATGACAAATCTAGCCTCTAAACTTTTTTTTTCTTGTTATCATTCTGATCCTAACCTTCTGTTTGGTAACATTAACCCTCAGCTTTTAAATGATAGGCCATGTTGAAAAATAATTATCTTTAGTATCTTAATTATTTTTGAAAAGTCAAAAATTTTGTTATATTTTAACAGCATAGTACCTTATAAATTTTAAACTTATTAAGCAATTTAATTATATTGAAAATAAATTTTATAGAAACCATTTAGCGATCTCAGTGATAGGATGCATGTTGTTGATGACCAAGATAAATTCTAAAGTTTATTATCCTTATAACCACCTAAACTATTAAAAAACAAATTTATATCTTTTTATTGAACTAAAAAATTGTTGAAACGACAAAAGAAACAAATGTTAGAGGCTAAATTTGGAATTGTACCATTCTTTCATTGGAAGTAATTAATTAACTTTTTTGGGGTTTCGATGTATTGGTGAACACCACAACTTTTTTTTTTTTTTTTTTTTTGAATTGAAAGGAAGAACAGAGAACTAAGCAACTAAGGAATTGGTGCATTTGGCATCTTTATTCATTGAACTGTTTTAGAAATATTCCATTTGGAAAATAAGTTTCGTTTACTTGTACAAAAGATTAGCGACAACCCTAAATCAGATTTTATTATTATTTATATCAAGTTGAGGGAGAAAATGGCCCCACCCTGATGATAAGAACCAAGACCACGAGGCAATTTCGACCGACCTTCTAAATATTTAGGGTAACTATAAATAGAATTTCAGTGAACTTTAGATTGATTATTAAAATGTTGTTCTAGTTATCAAAGTTCTTAGAATTTGTTTTGATCATTAAAAATAAGTTCTCTTTTATGACTTTAAAAAGCTTCAATGCTATGTCGTTTTTCTTCTACAATTATAACTGAACATTAAATCGCTAGTGATGTTTCTTTTTGTCAATTTTAATTTATGTACCATTTTATTAATAAACTTTAAAATATTTCTCTTTAGACATTGAATTTTAATTTGTGCATTATTTTGATTTATACAACTACTACTACATCGCTATCGTTAATTGTCACTCATCGGTTACCATTCATAGCAAGATCATATCAAAATGTTCGTGTTTCATTCTTTTTTATTCTCTTAGGAATAATTTTTTTCTGGAACTCATTCAAAATAGATAAAATTCATCTAAATGTTTCATGTTCTAATGTTTTAATTTTTTTTTCTAGAACTCATTCAAAATACATAAAATTCATCTAAATGTATGATGTTCTAATGTTTTTATTTTTTTTCTTATAAGACTAATTTTGAGGTTGTTGTTTGCCTTCCCAATAAATATTTGTTATTGTTTGGATTTCTTAACAAACATCCAAAACTCCTCAAATCTCATAAAGTCCCCACCCCTTCCCAAAAGTGATTTTTTGAGTTTTAAATAGGTTTGGGAAAACCTAAATGAAAAAAGTGATAAAGGATCGTGAGATAAGTTTATCGGTGTATAAGATAACCACAAAAGACACTAGAGATTAACGATTTTTTGTGGTTACTAAATAAGATGAAACCCTAATTTTGATTAAGAAGATGCTAATGCAAAATAAAATAATAATAATATTTTTTAGCTTACACTCAACACCAAAAATTATCAAAGTTCATTAATAAAAAATTTTTTTTAAATTTAATGGTAAAATCAAAATAAAATCTTAAAATTATTTTGAATTCTAAATAGTTATTTTATAATTAACGTTAGTTAATTTAATAGTATTATATATTAGCAAAAAAATATTTAATTTAATCATAAAATTATGAATTATGAGTAAGCACTTTAGCCGATTGATCAATCTGCTTATCTTTGTCTCTCGTATTTCTTTAGATTATGGATTCTAGGCTTATTATGAGTACTCTCTTTCCTTCCTTCTAGAGTCATTTTTCTCATTCCCCTAAGTAAGATTAGGATTAGATTTAATATTTATATAAAAAAATCATAAATTATAATTAAAATATCAATTTAATTCTTAACCGATTTTTTTTCTTAAAACAATTAAATAAATTAAACTTTAACCTCTATATAAAATTAACTTTAACATGGAAAGAAGAAAAAACATTACAAAAATTAATTTAAGTTGATGTCTCTATTTCAATTGTCTGGGTGCAATGTAATTGGTCATTATGTTAGTATTAGTAGGGATGTTAAAAAATATTTGATCCGGATGATTTAACTCGTTGATTCAATTAAAAATTTGAGTATTTTTTTAAAATGTCAAGTTGGGTTGGGTATCCGGGCCGGTATTTCCGGGTTGGGCCCGAGTCACAAAATTAAATTTTTTCTGGTATCTGGTTGCCCAAGTACCCAGTTATATTTATTTTTTATATATAATATTAACATTAATTATTAATAATTTTATATATTAAATTAACTAATAAAATTAAAAAAAAAAACTCAAATGAAAAAAAAACCACTTTTAAATTTTATGTTTGGATGTTAGAGTATGTAATTCGAACCTTTAAATTTGTGTATTTTTTTAATTAATAATTTGAAAATGATAAAAAATCAGGTATTGATTACCCAAATTACAGGCACCCATTAAATCCAGATACTCGATTATCGGTACCTACAACATCCGAATCGAAAACGGATCGACAATAAAGTACCTGAGGACTGGGTACCCGGAACTTCATGTACCCAAAAACTAGGTACCTAGATTTGAACACCCTAAGTATTAGTTACTAGAGGTTCCCGATTCGAACTCAAGTCGAGACATCTATTATTTTTCCTACTTGATCTACTTTGTCAGATTCATTCTAAAGACCTATAAAAACTTAGATAGTTTTAAAACATGATAAGTTTTCATCTGTCTGGATGCTGTAGTTGGTTATCACACTAGTCTCACACTAGAGTTCCCGGTTCAAACCCGGGCTCAGATTTTTCGCTTATTCTTTTTACCATTTCTTCTGATTCATAAGATTTATAATAAAAAGAATAAAGAAATTAAAATAGTTATGAAACAATGTCGATATAAAACAAGTCTGGTTCACGCACTAGGTCTATGTTTCGAACCTAGGCTCAGACACTTTTTTTTACTTGTCTTAAATCAGTGTCAATATTAATTCAATGACAACGTGATCTGCAAAGTTCAGATTGATGATGTTGAGACATTGATGGGGATTTATAAGCAAACAGCCAAGGAAGGTGCATTGCTTGTTATATTTTACCTGATCCATGGCAGTGTCTGCCAACCAAGCTTCCAAGTTGTCGGTAAACCAGCTATGTATACAGAGGCCATTGCTGCTCATTTAGGTGCCTCGCCTTCTCGTCTTCCCGGAAGAAGCTTCCCTCAATACTTTTGGCGGACTGAAGCGGTTGAATTTGCAATGAAGCAGGATGATGGAGGTCTACCTCAAAAATCATGCAAGGCTGACATTATTCTCACATGACGATTGATAAAGATCATTTACTATTTTTGTTTGATTTCTCCCAACTGTTTGATTCTTTTGCATGATGGATAGATTTTTAAACTATTAATAAGCTTAAGAGGATGGTAAAATTTGGTATTAAAAATCTAAGATGTTCGGCATGGTATCTGATGAATCACCTACTAGTCTGGCAGAAGTTACTGGTAAAGGATTGTGGTAGATAATAAATACACAACCTATAATCTGTATAACGATTATAATTATGGCATGAGTTTTAGTGTTCAAAAAGAAAAAAATATTTTTGACACTAAATTTATTCATATGAAAGTTTGTATTATTCAAATAAGGATTCAAAGAATAAAACGTCGATCGAGGACACCAAAAAAAAAAACAAATTAGAAACTAGAATTAGTTAATATCATTAATTTAGTGGCTAGTGTTGGTATACGTCCAAAAGATATTTACTATTACATGTCTATGAAATTTGGGTGTTAAAAATGTTGGGTTTACAAGACGAAATTGTTTATAATTATATTTTTATTAGTTTGAGGTAAAAACAATGTAATATCTATTTAAATACTCTCAACCATTTGAATATGAACGCTCATACAATCCTATATGCACTGTGCTCGAATCCGGGACCTCAATGAATAATATCAATTCCTTAATCACGGAGATCACACGATACGTGCAAATACATAAACAAAATATTAACGACATATTGAAGCTAGAGATGGTCAAAGTTTTCTTAACCATTTCAAGGTCAAAGCAAGTAAAGACCCAATGCTTTTTCTACACGGATCAAGTGGATTAAGAAAATCGAATAACAAACTTCTTTTCAAGGATAATATATCAAGAATTGACTACGATTATTATGAAGATGTTGTGGTTTTGATATAATTTATCCTATCAATAAATATAGTCTAATAGCTTTATTTGCAGGGATTAATCAATTAAAGTCTCTAGTATTTGACTCATGCATAAAAAAATATACTTATGAATATAAACAATTCCAGAAAGTATGTCTTGATGGTATTCATTGACTTAGAAAGAATTGTAAAAAAATATAAAATTTACACTTTTTTAAATGACGATGGATGATAAATCTACCACTAACTAATTGGAGACTTATTATACTTGAAAGAAGATAGATTTTTGTGGCTATTTTTACTCTTACGCTTTATGGATTCTTAGTATTAAAAATATCGAGAATTTTTTTAACGATATTTCTCACAAAAGTAAACCAGATGCTAAGAAAACATGTATGATGATGTTTTCGAGTTATCACAATAGTACAATGCAGAAGTCGACAGTTAAGTGTT